AACTCATACTGGACTAGACGTCATCATGCAGCATAGCAGGACATTGTCCCAGTTGGCACTTTCAAACAATACAAACAAAACATACAGCAGGGCTTTCACACTATTCAAACGATTCCTTCTGGAACATAACATCATACAACCGTTTGTTATGACATCTTTTTTGGGGTTTGCTTCCTTTTGCCACCTTAAACTCAAAATGTCATACAACACCATCAAACTCTATCTCACTGGCATTCAACACCACATGCTCATCTTACACCCAAATAACAACAGTTTCATGGCCTCTCACCAAATTAAGACCATACTCAGAGGTATTAAAAAATCAGAACCCACACATTTGGCCCAGAGGCTACCCATAGATAACCATATCTTCAAAGCATTATCTAACCTACTTGACCTAAAACCGTTTGACACTAATACGAATTCTATCATCAAAACAGCAATATACATCGCTTTCTATGGATTTCTACGACCCAGAGAATTCACTACGACCTCCACGACCCAAACCACTCCATTCCTCCTCTACTCCCACTTGACAAAACATATGGATTATTACATCCTGTCTTTACCTCACTCCAAAACCAGCCAGCACATACCTGTAAACATTCCGTACTAACCCACGCACAACAGATGGTGTCCCGTCAAGGTTCTTGATGCCTACATACAGCACCATCACTTACTGCCCTCGCAACCGTTATTACAACTACAAGGTGCAGTACTCACCACTACAACCTTCATGACCTACGTCAGGTCCTTGCTCACACAACTGGGCCTCAACGCAAACAAATACTCAGGACACTCCTTTCGTATAGGAGCCGCGTCCACAGCCTCCAGTGTCAACATCCCAACTCATGTTATCAAAACACTGGGGCGCTGGAAGTCATCCGCTTACTCACGGTACATACCGAACCCAGTACAAGAATTAAGGGATGCTTTCATAAACATGTCTGGTTGATAAATGTATATGTATTGGTTGTCTGTTAATAAATTTGATTACTTAATTTTTGCCCTCTTCTTTCTCAGGCCTACCTCATCGTCGGTTTCGGCACACCACAACTGACTTGCTCCTTTTATCATCCTACGCTTATTCATGGTATTTCATACTGTACTATCTTAAGCACCTAACACAAGTATTAAGGCAATTTGCCTGCATTTGTGGGAGGTGCTGGTTTGCTACCCCTAGCCTACTTAAGGCACTCCCCTTACCTTGCTCCTTACCGTTCGAGGTCAGCGTTGAATGACCCTCCCACCACACCACTTTTAACATTTATTTCCTTTCTATTTCTTTTCCTGGGTGGGCCCTCTTCTTTCTCAGGCCTACCTCATCGTCGGTTTCGGCACACCACAACCGACTTGCTCCTTTTATCATCCTACGCTTATTCATGGTATTTCATACTGTACTATCTTAAGCACCTAACACAAATATATATATATATATACAGTTGCAAGAAAAAGTATGTGAACCCTTTGGAATTATATGGATTTCTGCTCAAATTGGTCATAAAATGTGATCTGATCATCATCTAAGTCACAACAATAGACAATCACAGTCTGCTTAAACTAATAAAACACAAAGAATGAAATGTTGCCATGTTTTTATTGAACACATCATGTAAACATTCACAGTGCAGGTGGAAAAAGTAGGTTCACATACTTTTTCTTGCAATTGTACATATATATACATACACTGCTCAAAAAAAATAAAGGGAACACAAAAATAACACATCCTAGATCTGAATGAATTAAATATTCTTCTGAAATACTTTGTTCTTTACATAGACAAATGCGCTGACAACAAAATCACACAAATATATAAAAAATGGCAATCAAATTTTTAACCCATGGAGGTCTGGATTTGGAGTCACACTCAAAATTAAAGTGGAAAAACACACTACAGACTGATCCAACTTTGATGTAATGTCCTTAAAACAAGTCAAAATGAAGCTCAGTAGTGTGTGTGGCCTCCACATGCCTGCACGACCTCCCTACAACGCCTGTGCATTCTCCTGATGAGGTGGCAGATGGTCTCCTGAGGGATCTCTTCCCAGACCTGGACTAAAGCATCTGCCAACTCATGGACAGTCTGTGGTGCAACGAGACATGATGTCTCAGATGTGCTCAATTGGATTCAGGTCTGGGGAATGGGTGGGCGAGACACACTCCAGCCACATGAGGTCTAGCATTGTCTTGCATTAGGAGGAACCCAGGGTCAACCGCACCAGCATATGGTCTCACAAGGGGTCTGAGGATCTCATATCGGTACCTAATGGCAGTCAGGCTACCTCTGGTGAGCACATGGAGGGCTGTGCGCCCCCCCCAAAGAAATGGCATCCCACACCATTACTGACCCACTGTCAAACCGGTCATGCTGGAGGATGTTGCAGGCAGTAGAATGTTCTCCACGGCGTCTCCAGACTCTGTCACGTCTGTCACATGTGCTCAGTGTGAACCTGCTTTAATCTGTGAAGAGCACAGGGTGCCAGTGGCGAATTTGCCAATCTTGGTGTTCTCTGACAAATGCCAAACATCCTGCACGGTGTTGGGCTGTAAGCACAACCCCCACCTGTGGACGTCGGGCCCTCATACCACCCTCATGGAGTCTGTTTCTGACTGTTTGAGTAGACACATACACATTCGTGGCCTGCTGTAGGTCATTTTGCAGGGCTCTGGCAGTGCTCCTCCTGTTCCTCCTTGCACAAAGGCGGAGGCAGCGGTCCTGCTGTTGGGTTGTTGCCCTCCTACGTCCTCCTCCATGTCTCCTGATGTACTGGCCTGTCTCCTGGTAGCGCCTCCATGCTCTGGACACTACACTGACAGACACAGCAAACCTTCTTGCCACAGCTCGCATTGATGTGCTATCCTGGATGAGCTGCACTACCTGAGCCACTTGTGTGGGTTTTAGACTCCGTCTCATGCTACCACTAGAGTGAAAGCACCGCTAGCATTCAAAAGTGAC